CAACCAGAGAGGAGCATGGACCCCTGCACAAGGGATGACACGCATTCGAGACTTCGACATGCCATCGTGGCATGGCTCAAGCGCGACAAAAGTGTCGCGCACCGGGAAGCTGGGCGGTGGGAAGACGTCGCGTGCCGACACCGACGAGGGTTCGAGAAGTGTACCAAGTTTTGCATTTTGTTTTTCTTGGGTTTTGACAACTTGTTCAACTTGGTTTGAAGTTTCATACCACCACCACCACCACCCCCACCACCACCACCACCACCCTTTCACCCCCACCCCCACCCTCCACTGCCACTTCCTGCATGCTACTCTTACTGGGCTGTTACGGGGGCGGGTGACAGAATGGTGCGCAAGACCTTGACAGAACACGTGTCAGAATGCATGCCATACTTGATGTCAGCACAAATGTCAGAATAGATGCTAGAATACATGACAGAGCACATATCAGAACGACTGTTGGAACATGCTTCGAAGTAAAGTAGTTTCTTTTTTTCCCTGGGTTTGACCTGGGGCGTGCGTCTACATTGACTCAATGAGTACAGGTTCTGGGCCTGGGGAGAGCTCTTGTGCAGTATGAGATCCTTACGTTTGTTGCATAACGATATGGAACAGCTGTGAGACGTTTTTGTTTTGACCCGTCACACCCGTCAGGTGCTACATGCAAGGAAATTTCCTTTGTCAGAGTGGCTTTGCTGGGGAAGTTATTTTCTCACCGTCTGAAACTGGTCAAAGTGCACTTGCCTTTTGATCTTTCAGAGGACAAGCATGCTCTCAAGCTTTCAATAGCGCTCTAGTTTGGTTCCAGGCTAGTGCTCCTGGCGTCAGAGCGCTCCGCTGGAAAGAGCATGAATACTGCATTTGGCGAAAAGCAGGCATGATGGGGACCTGACCGTAAATGGGACAGCCGACAAGCAGTGCTGGTTGGGATGAATCTTTCAATTTGCTTGAACAGTTGATGTCCTTGCACTGTTGGCGCTCGGTTAGGTGGAGGCCTTTAGTGTGGAGAGAGCGCAATCATGCGATTTTGTCCTCATGGCTGTGTCTGGCCCCTTGGCGATAGCAAGGGAAGCTGCGTAGCTGTGTGACCGAGTTTTTGAGCACTGTGGTCTACTTGGATGCAATCGGTTTCTTAGTCATAGGGTTTGTTTGAGCTGAAGTTTCTTTGCCGTTGTTGCGTGTCATGTTTCGTGTTCATGCGTGTTACGTGGCGGGACTTACTGCATGGTTCAATGTTCTTTGATGTGATAGAAATGGAGTAATTACAACGTTCGATTTTCTTTCATGTTATGTTGCAAATTCGATGCTCTTTCATGTTGTGTTAGTGTGGGGGGGGGACTTAGCGCAAATTTCCATGTTCCGTATCATTCTACTCTTCAGACTTTGTGAGGACGCATGCGGTGGGGAGGGCTGAGGGGGAGGTGTGGGGGGTGGAGTGCAGGATGGTAATGACGTTCGATGTATGATGCATTTTAGATTCTTTGCGTATGCAGTCAGATTTGTTTCCTTTTGTTTTGTTTGTCTTTTGGTGTGTGCGTGTGCACCTTGTAGTCACAGGGATTCCGTTGAATTGTTTCTTTTTACTTCAGCAGGGGGACCAGGCATCTTGCTGCTGACCTGGTCCAACAAAGCTAGGCAGCAAGATGGGATACTGGAGTTGGCCACTCCAGCGTACCTGCGATTCTTTTCGAATGGCATGAGGCTAAGCCCAGAACCTCAAAGACATGGTATCTAAGTAGCTGTGGTCACGCACGATCCGCCGTCATCCCGTCGCTCCGTTCTCGATCTTGCGCTTTTGGCCTCGCTTCCTCTTACAGACCTTCAGGATCCGATGGTTCTTACTGGTACTCTTAGGAAGTGGTACCCTAGGCCGGCATGTGGCACCGCTGTCAGTGTGTCTGGCCTCGCGCCAGTCCGGGATGAGCCCGTAGAGTGCCTCCCGTGGACCCGTCGAACGGGTGTCTGTCGTTATCTCCCCTGCTCGGAGATGTACGTGTCGGCTCATGCCACAAGAACTCAAATTTTGTCTCATTTTTGCAACTCCAAGTTGGCTTATGCCTTTACGTGACCGCAGCGGTCCAAGCTGGCTTAACGCCTCAACGTGGTCAGAGCGACCGAAGTACTTTTGAGGTTCATTGGAACCTGTCCCACTCTCAGGTGCGCACACAGCGCGTACCTTCAAACGAGGCAGGTCCCTAGGCGCTTCTAATGAGGTTTGGTTTCATCGGCTCTCGTCCCCTCCATTTGGTTCCCTTTCATCGTTTCCCCTTCACACACTTTTGTTTCCTCTTTTCTTTCATGTCCTCCTGTCTTCATGTCTGTTCATCTCATCCCTTTCTTCGTTTGCGTGCACATTGGTCCCGGCCTTAGTGTGTACGTGCACTTCTACATACCTTTAAACACAAGTTTCAGGTCGCCCAGGTCTTTACAATGAGGTGGGCTTCATCGGGTGTCCCTGTGCACTTGGTTTCCCTTTCATTTCAACCACACGCACCTTTGTCTCGTCTCGTCCTCCTGTCATGTCTTCATTCTTTTGTCTTGTGCGCGCGCACGTGCGCATTGGCCCTCACCTTAGCTTTACGCCTCCCCTCGGGGAGGCGTGTGTGTGTGTGTAACCCTTGGAATCATAGGGATCCTTTTGGACTTGCTCAGCTTGCTTTCTTCTTCTCTAGTTTTTACCACAGCAGGGGGGCAGTGAATCTCATTCCATCCACTGCCCAACGAAGACGGTGGTTTGAGATTGTGAAGCGAGAAGGGACGCCTTCTTGTGTACCTGCAATTTTCCAATTTTCCGCATGGCGTGAGGCTAAGCCTAGAACCTCAAAGACTTGGTACTTCATGTTGCTGCAGACACGCACGGAACGCCGTCAGCTTGTCGTCTCGTCGGTTCGTGGCCTTTAACTACAGGAACTCTGGTCCCCTTCACCTGGTCTTTTCAGGATTTGGGTTTCTTAGGCTGGCGTGTGGCACCGCTTTCAGTTCAGTACACCCTATCCTAAGTGTGTTTGGCCTCGTGCCAACCCGGGATGAGCCCGCAGAGTGCCTCCCGTGGACCCGTCGAACGGGTGTACGTCGTTATCTCCCCTGCCCGGAGATGTACGTGTCCGCAGCGGACAGTAGCTGGCTCACGCCATAAGAAGTCAAATTTGTCCCATCTTTGGAATTCCAAGCTGGCTTATGCCTTTACGTGACCGCAGCGGTCAGAGGTGGCAGCCCCTGGGCAGGCCGTACGTGGTTGCAGCGACCGAAGTCTGTTCAAGGTTCATTGGAACCTGTTGCAACCTTAGTTTCCCAGTTGATCCGCTCCCTCTTCCCGCCATGTTTCCCTCTCCGGCTGGTCTCAACCCCGTGGACGGCGTCACGATGAGGGCCCAAACTATTCTTCATCGAGAAATTCTTCACCTACATGGTTTGTTGATCCTCGCTATTTCACCCCTTCGCACCCGCTTTGCTATCCTTACCCCCTCCTTTATGGACTACATCACCTCACCACATCTTCAGGTGCAAATTCGAGGTCTTGACTCGGCGATTCGACAGGCGACTCAGGCAATTCATACTGGTGTGCACTATATTCAAGAACTCCTCACCACCTTTGGTATGATGCACGCCTTGACCTGCGACACTGCTCAACTGGATGCTGAACTACGTGGACGCTCGACCTTTCCGGACCCTCGCCTTCCCTCTGTCTTTCCTCCTCCTTTGGGCTCTTCTACGTACGACATCTACCAGTTCCACTCCGGCTGAACCAACGACTCCTCCACCGAGGACTCCTACAGGTCGTCCTGCACCCAGTATTGTGGTTACCACTTCGAACCGGACTCTCTCCACCACCGAGTTACGATCCAGCACTGCTCGCTCGCGCTCTAGGTCTCACCCTCGTACGTATCCGAGGAATCTCTAAACGGTTCTATCGCTCATTTTGCCACTAACGAAAAATGTCCACCCACACGTTGATACCGCCATCTTGTTCTTTACATTTTGTGACACATTCTCCTGACCTAATACTTTCGACCCTTTTGGCTTTCAGCCCTCCCCACGCCCCACGCCTTTCCGGTCTCGTATATTTCTGGTCGTTTCGCCGCCATGTCGACCCCATCTACGACGACTTCGACTCGCCCTACGGGATTGGCGCCAATCGCCGGCTTACCTCCTGCCGCTCATGAAGTACTTCATCGTGAACTCCTTCACATACATTCTTCTTTACATTTGATTCTCCTGATCCTACGTGGACCTTGGGATACCGTCACTTCGTCCATTGTGGACACGATTACTAGTCCTGGCCTTCGTACCACTCTTCGCGCCCTTGAGACCAGCATTGAACAGATTCGGCGATCTACCTGCACTACACTGGTATACACGGATGAACTATGCTCCGCTTTGACACTTCCACATTATACTGGCCGCTTGGTTTCCTCTTCCAACTCCCTCCCTTCCTCTATGGCCTCTCCTCGCCTTCTTTTCTCTCCTCCTTCTCCACCCATGACGACTACGACGACGACTACCACTGACCCCTCTCCTCCTCAATTCACTCATACTTCCCCTCCTCCTTCGATTCCTGTTTTGACCTTGACGCGGATGCCACGTTCTCGCTCACCTTCTCGGTCACGATCCCCTACGAGACGATTCCGATTTTAGCTGGCTTTCTCACTCGCCCGACCACTTTGGGTTTTGGCAGTACAGAAAAGCACTCCTTGTCTCCGGATGTCAGCTTGATCACCATTTTGGTTCTCTTTGACATTGATCCTCCAATTTTCTGTCTCTTCTCTTGGGCTCACCAGCGACCACTCGTTTCGCTCCCTCGTTTCTCGCCGCCTTTTTTGCAATGGCTTCGACTTCGACATCTACACCACCCTGTGGTCTAGCTCCAATTCCAGGCCTTCCACCTCGCGCTCAAGCAATACTACATCGCGAACTTCTACTTGTACATGTTCTGTTGGCCCAGATCCATTCACTGCTCCATATCCCACTCTGCATTCAATTCGTACCCTTCCATTTATGTATCGGGTGACACACCCACAACTTCGAGCTCACCTTGAAGGATTGGACAATACGCTCCTCCTCGCCCTTCGCCTCAACCACACTGCCGTCCACTACACCCACGAGCTCCTCACTGCCTTGGGCCTCCTCCATATTATTCAACAGAGCCCGGAACAACTTGAAGACGAACTTGAAGGTCGCACAGACTTTGGTGATCGAGCATCCCTCTCCACACTACCTGCTCTTCCTCATTCTACTACGACTTCATCGAGGACTACCAGGACCCACAACACAGCTGACCGGATGCCTCCCTCTTCTGACCCTCCGCCCTCTCGCCATGCACCTCGACCTCGTCTTCACATACGTTCGAGATCTCGCTCTCGCCCTCGTTCGACCAGATCCTAGCTTCTGTGTTTCACCTTGTACTTTGCCAGACGCAGTAAAAGGAACAACTTACACTTGGCGTTATTGTGATGACACTTTCTTTCATTTTCACGCTCGATTTGCCATTTATCTTTCCCTTTCCTTTTGGGCTCTAGACTCTGAGACATGCATTTTCACGCGATGATCATCTACCCTTCTCATCTCACTCACAATTTCCTTTTCTTGTTGCTAATCCTTGTTGTTAACGTTTTCGGGCGACTACCTACCTCATGGCGAGCTCTGGCTCTTCTCCGGAATCCACTCGCCCTGTTCGACGACGTGAACTTGGTCGCACCTCTCGTTCAAGGGATACCAGGCCTCACACACACACACACCCCGAAGAAGTCGATTATGGAGATGAAGAGAACAATCCCCTACCATCCATCAACCCACCACCCGGCACTGAAATTGCACGTGGCGTCCCAGATCCACCACCACCTTCCGACACCGCCACGGGCGACTCTACTCACCAGACCATCACTTCACCTTGAACCGTTTCCGCCCCACCTTCAACACCACGTCCTCACCAGTTTCCCTTCCCTCGACCCCATTCCACTCCCGCTTTTCCACCCACTCCACCAACACATCTTACTGGTCCACTCTTTCCACCACCACGCGTTCAAGCACCTCGTCCCCGACCTCCACTTT